CACAAATTTTCTTGAAATTACCCATATGAATATGAATAATATGATGTTTATACAAAAAAAAATTCTTCAAAAAGGAAACAACTAGAGATAGATTTTATTTGAGTACTTTGATAGAGTTTGATCACTTTAAGTGGTCAACCACATGATTAGATATATAAATAATGAGAAATATAATAATAATAAATTAATTAAATAATTATTGAAAAAGTTATATTATTATGATAGGCTTGCATGACATGTAGGTAAGGCAAGGTCCATGGCCCATTTTTCTAATAGGATTACTTTTTCTTTGGAAAAACTACGTAATTAGACATATTTTATTATATTATATATATTTTTTTATTTTATTTTTAGAATATTACGTAATTTATTGAGTTTTCTATCCTATGTTAAGGAAGATTCATATAGATACATGTGTGTTCTCTATTAAATACATTGAAATAAGGAGAGATGCGAACGAGATCTGTTGTGTAGCCCATATACATGCAAATCACATTAGATACGTGTATCTATGTATCTATGGTGATTTGCATATATCTGGCCAAATACATTGGAGAGTGGTAGAGAAATGGGGGGAGGCAAGTGAGATGTGTTTTGTATCACAGATATATGCGAATTTATTTGGATACAATGTCTCCAAAATAAATTACAACTAATTTTGATCCATGTATCTCGAGACACATTTATTTGGACGTATTTGAATGTATATGGATGCATAAAATCTGATAAGATTCATAATATTACAAACTAAAGTATATCTAAATTATTAGCTCACAAACTTGTGAGATTTATATGGATTTTGTTTTTTAAAAAAAATGTTGAAGTATTGTAAACTAAGTACTTTTCGATTCAATTTTAAAAAATTAATTACTATCATGAAATTTAAATTAATAATAAAATTCCATGATATTAATTATTATTTTTGTAGAAAAGCATCAATTGGTCTTCCTATAGCCACAATTACAAGGTAATATGAATTCCTCATATGTAAAACAACAACATAATAATAATAATGGCCTAAAGTTTTACTGTGGAATATAAAACTTTATGATAATTTTTTTTTAATTATAAGGACTGAAAGTGCCTATTTTGGATCTTACCTCTTTTTTATTGTTAATATTTATTTATTTATTTATTTATTTATATTCTTATAAAGTCAAACAAAATTATCACTTTTTTCCTTTTCAAACTCAACCTTTTTTTTGTTTTTTTGGGGTGGATGCACCTTCTTGGAATTTTGGATCAAATTCATCTCCTCTATTTATTTATTTTTAGTTCTTTGAAATTAGTCTTATATTGTCCTTTAGAACTCTATTGAGGTGGCTATTGGCTTTGTCTATATTCAATATAGTTTTTTTAAAAATTATTTTTCTTCACTTTAATTTAATAAAATCCAATTTGATAATAAGTTTGTCATTTACTTGTAACAAAGTCAATGTACTTGTATTAAACTATACACTCTCATGTTTAATTAAAATTAAACATGTAATTAAAAACATCATTTTTACTAAAAAGTGTTTAATCAAATCCACAAGTAGGAAAGACAATGTTGTTTTCAAGCATATTATTTAATTATTTTGACTAAAGTAGATATTTTATAATTTTTCTATAGTCTCTATGCATAGGTGCTGTATATTTTTAATTTATTTGTTTATTATATAAAATAGTAGAATGGTTGTGAATATTCATTGAGATTTAATCTTGAGAATCCAATTGATACCAAGTGCTAATAACTATTGAATTTATTAAAAAAAAACATCATAATTTTTTTTAAAAAAAAGTTTTATCATCCATGACAAGTAAATGCATATTTATCATCAGAGATTATAATAACGTTAAGTATATTTTTATTTGTAAGAAAAAGGTCTTGAATATATGTTCAGAATGAATAAGGTTAAGTATATTTTTATCTGTAAGAAAAAGGTCTTGAACATATGTTCCAGATGAATCCTTCTTTATTATGGATCAGAGTTCAGAAAGTCATTGAAACTCAAAGTAGATACTGAACACACAAGATGGATAACATAGTTTTTTTTTTCATCATCCATGACAAATAAATACAATTTATATGTCAACTAGAGGTTTTATATGGTAGGGTTGTAAGTATTGCTCTAACTTTAATCAACGGTCTCAAACTTATGATACAAAATTGAATTGTCTTTGATAGATATCATTTTATTTCTGATGTGCGGTTTTTCAAATGAATATAGATCAACAGAGCTTAAAGTGTGTATTGAACACCAAAAAGATAACAATAAAGATCTATTATGATGTATATTATCAACGATTATGATAAAATAGACAAAATTCTTATAACTTTAATTCAAATACAAAATATTTTGAATTTAAGTCATGAAATAGAACCAAGAATAATCTTTTCTTTTGTAGAATTATTAGAGGTACCAAAAACAGCAAATCATGTTTGCTTTTTACCATACAATTTGTTATATTATTATTATATAGATAAGAAATAATGATAATGAAGTTGGTTCCTAAAGGCAATATATACCTGTCATTGTTCCTATATATTCACAAATTTTATTTTTTATTTTTTTTATAATATTCCTATATATTCACAACAAACAAAATAAGAAATTAGTGACAAACAATCTATTTAACAAAAAAAAATTAATAATAAATTTCTTAACTATTTTATGTCCTTTTATCATCCTTCTTTTTCTTCTATTATGTCTATAACTTTAAAAATATGTATGTGAACTTCTATTAATTATACCTCAATCTTATCGTACCGATTAATAATTTCAAATTAAAAAGAACAGATATTTACGTCAAATCAATCAAAAGAAAATTGTGTTACCATTTTTTCTCTTCTTAGGGTAGGGGATGGGGTCTTTTCAATCTTTTTTTTTTTGTGATATTATATATAAGGCTTTGCAAACAAATCATAAATCATTAGGGTTTAATCTTTGTTTGACTAGTCATAACTAATAATGATTAAGGGCATATAATATATCCCTTTTTTAATCACACAAAATCAATTTTTATCATATACTAATATTATAGTATACCTAGCTACAAGAATATTTTCAAAATTTAAGTCTGACTCTAATATAATTATTATGTGAAGGATATTATATTTATATATCCATTTGTTTTAGAATTTGACTTGTTTTATTCAAATTCGCTTCGAAAAATTTTACGTCATTTTTTATGAAAGATGACTCAATAACCAAAGCTAGAATCCACTAATTTCTAAGTGTGCAATCAAAATTATGATGATAAGAAGGGGCCTATCATCCACTTCAACAACCACTAAATTAAATCTTATATATTCCCATATTTTTTTTCTTCTAAAAATTAAAATAAAAAAATCCATACTTTCTTTAGTTAGTTGCAAATATAATCATGTTGCTTTTTTTCTTTTTTTTGAGCAACTTATTGTTAATTAAAAAGTAAAGAAATTGACATCCACATACAACCACCATTCACCAATGAAATGATGAGTATGGATATGATTCTTTTCATTTCTTGTGGAGAACACATGGACAAATTTAACCTATGATATATCCGAAACGATTCAGAATTTAAAGTTTATGTATTTTTTCATAGCAATCTCAAATTAATATCATAATAATAATTGAGGTATTGTTAATACTATGTATGCATAAAGTGATACAACATTGAACAAAATGACACTATTTGACAATAGATGACTCTTGATGTTTTAATATAGTGCCTTTTTTCTTCTAGTATCGACACCAACGTAAACAATATATTCAATATGATCCTACAAACAGGAGTTTGTAGATGGTAACTCAATATTGAGACTGCTTAATTGAAAATTCTGTATACACCATTGTATAACCAATCCTCTCGATCCGTCCCTAGTTGTATAATCATATGCATTCTAGAAACAAAAAGGTGTTTGAAAACATAGGTTAATTAGTTAAAGTAATTTTATCATGCATTTTAAAGATGTGTTACTTTACACTTTTAGTAGCAAGAACAAGTAAACCTAATACCAAATTAGTTAACAAAATATGTGATTTTAAATTAATAAATTAAAAATATGTAAAATGTACGAAAATGCCCTTCAATCGTGTAATCTTAAACGTGTCGTGTGAAAAAATAGAATTGAAAATTACCAATTAGAAATGAGACATTCTTTATTAAACGGATTTTTAAAAAAATGGAACATTAAATAAAATAGTAAAAACATGACTATTAATTATGTGCTTTTTGACAAAAATTATAATTATTGTGAATTTAGTGATAATGACTGGATACTCGTGTAGTCACAGCCTTTCATAATTTTAATTAATCTCATTAATAATGTGTATATCACAATTAATTATGACCCTATATGTGTCCCTCAAACATTGATTTTCACTAAAATCTTTTATTTTTCGCTCGATGTTTGATATCTGTACTGAATCATTTTACTATCAAATGTTATTATTAGTCGTAACTCACAGGTACCAAAAATAAGATATTTTGACGTAAAATTTAAATTAATTAAAAGTATCGTTCAGTAGAAAAGTGTTACCCTCAAATAAAGACTTTTTAATCCGAATCTAAATTAGTCGAATCTCAAATAGTCTAGCACATCCAGAAGCCCAATTATTTCCAAACAGGCCCAATTCTTTTTATTTTTGCTGCAAAGTATTCACGATAACAACATATCCAGTGAAATCCCATAGGAGAGGATACAATGTACGTAAACCTTACCATTAGCTCGTGGAGATAAAAAGATTGTTTCCGAAAGACCCTCGACTCAAATGCAGCAATCCAAAGGAGAAAGATGGGGACATTGCAACACATGAGTATTACATCAAGGAACATTAGCTTAACACAATGAGTAGATCAATGGTTTTAGAGCCATTTGTTTGAAAACTTTTAAAGTTAAGAGGTTCTTTACCCATCCTCTTTTCTTGATCACCGGATATTGATAGAAAAACAATCGCACCAAGCAAAGGTACACAACCTAGGCTTAACGCCCCAATGAGCACAGTCAAAAGAGAAGCCTTTGGACAACTCAATAGGATCAAAGGAGAAATGAATCATTTCTTATCTATAAATGTCTATTATATGAAAGAAGTTTCCAATTACAATTACACATAAAACTACTATAGATACAAAAACATCTCGAAGAGCTAACTCACCGGGGAATTATGTTGGGGACGCTACTATGAGAATCAACAATAGCCAGAGGTGTTTATGAGGTGATGTTTCGTCTTCAGATATTATGTTGAGGGTGACAATGGCAATGGCATTGGCGTTGTTGACTCTGTCAAAGCCTCGTGCTAACTCACCGGGGAATATGTTGGGGACGCTACTATGAGAATCAACAGCAGCCAGAGGTGTTTATGAGGCGATGTTTCGTCTCAGATATTATGTAGAGGGTGACAATGGCAATGGCATTGGCGTTGTTGACTCTGTCAAAGCCTCGTCTAATCTTCGTTGAGCAGACTTGGTTCTGTAACACCATATCTCAAAAGCCTCGCTAAGGTCTGGATATTTAACCTGTTCAGCACTTATCCAATCTGCTAGAATGTCAGCTTGATCATTTGACGGTAATGCTGAAACCAATGAAACTATAGCTCCCTCGACACACTGGCAAAGGTCATCGCTCATCTTGTATGGAAATGCAGCCTCCATTTCATCGGAAAGGGACTTCATTTTTCTTATGTATGGAAGCCATGTCTTGAGCAATTCTACTCGACTTTCTGCTGGAAGAACTACAGTTCCGTAACCTACAGCTTCCAATACTTTAGATGTCACTTCTATTAACTTCATCTTCAAATCCCACATGACAGAATCAAGTCTTTTATCTTCGATGACCTTCAGTAAATTGCTCGATATATTAGACCAGTGAGTGACAAAGTCCTTCATGAGATCCATCTTCAGAAGAGTGTTATGCATCCATTCGAGGTCAGATAGACTCCGCATTATATTCTTTTCCATCTCCATGTTCGCAATGTCAGGCTCCAAAATCAACGAGAATAATTCATTTTCGAAAGAAGAAAAGATTTTAGACACCACAATTCTAGTCTCCACTTTTATTTCATCATCAGCTATGACCAGAGGAATCTTTTCATCGTCCTCGAGCATGAACTCAACCTGTTCTTGAGCTGAGGTTCTTAGATCATCCTCGAATTGAGGGAATGAATCACAAGTTGAAGTGGCATAGCGGATGGCAGACAAGAAAACTTCTTTTGTGCCACTTAATTCTGCTTCTTGTATATCCGAAAATATGGGCATGGTATAAGAACTAAGTTTCGAAAATTTCCTATTATCTTGTACTTGTTATTCTCCAAGGAAAAACCAAACGACTGAGCTACGAAGAATCGAGGACTTTAAACAATATCAAAAGCACATCCAAGAGAGTAGTCCACCTGAACCCGAAAAGGGTCAATCTAGACGAATAAAACAAAGATTTGAAAGAAACAAGACTTGTGAGAAGGAGTTGCAATAACGAAAAACAAAATGCAGACTGCAAAAAGAGTTCTATAACAAGCTAAAACATAACCAGATTACTAGCTAGAGTGCACTGTTCAAAGTGTAATCCGTAATAAACGGGAGAAACAAGACCAAATCATCTGCTTAACATAAACGAGACGTAAAAAATTGAATCTTGGGCCTAACTCAATCCCAAAAGCTCGAAGAATGATTGCCGAAGTCCATATAAGAAGTCCAAACTCACCACATCCCCTGATGTGAGACTTAACACTAGACACTAATAACACAATCCACCTATGCAACTTATATAAAAACAATCAACTTTAAAGATTTTTCTTTTTTATAACCATGGTATACGAGCCACCTTGTGCACCTCGACTAATTCCACGAGGTACCAAAACTACCTCCCACCAACACAAGTACCAGGGTAACTCCGTAAAGCAAAAGACCAAATTTTTCCTCATAATAAAAGATTGGAGTACAACAAATCGCGAACGAAAACAAGTAACTTCCTCTCACATATTCTACTTGTTAACATGTATCATCAACATTTGAAAATACTCCTTCCCTTCCAATTTGTTTCTCTTACTCCCCTATTTAATGCATTTTTTTTAAAAATCCCTCTTTCCATTTTCGACACCTCTTTAATTTCAACTTTCCACGTAACGTGTTTAACACCACAAGATTGTACTATACTCTAATACATTCTACATACCTTAAGTGATTCAAAACTCGTACTGAATTATTTAAAACACCGTGTCAAGTTAAAACCAAACAAATAAATCGAATCCAAGGGAGTAAAACAAATACATATGATCTAAACATGCAATGATCAAATTTATCTACTAACAGATCTCTAGCTATGCAATAGTCAAATTTTTTAAAAATTAAAAAAAAAATCTTCAGTTTTACAGGGCACCAGAATTAAGATATCAAGATTTAATTTTTATAGCATAAAAAAAAACATTACTTTATAATAGAAAAGGGGCTTACACTCGTTCCACGGCTCGAACTCGTGACCTACAATTATAAGTTTGCTCCAGAGCTTCACTTTTCACTATTATTAACATTAATTAAGAGCAAATTAGGATACAAATGCAACTATTTAGTTAAAAATTAAGAAAAAAATGGAACTTTAATTTGATTTTAAAAATTTGGTTAAAAGGGGGGTTTTTTGCAGTAGAGCTCAAGCTGAAGAAGAAATCTATGGAGTTAATTGAAATTGAGTCTTTGATTCGGGTCAAAATTTGAGTCCGTTTTTGTTCATATATGGGCTTTTGAATTGGGCCCCCAATATCTTTCTTTTGGCCGTTTTTATTCGTATAAATTTTAGGCATAGTTTTAATATGAAATTATAATCTATCCTTATTTAGTTTGTAATTACATTGATTTATGAAAAAAATAAAAAAAGTCGGGTACATAATATGTAGCTCAGATGCTTTTAAAACTAGCTCAGATACATAATATGTAGCTCGGATACATTATAAAATAAACCGATACATAATATATAGATCGGATACATTAAAAACTAGTTCGGATACGTATAAAATAATTTAGAATTAGGAGAGAAATTATAAATTTTAGAGATTTTTAGAAATAAAAGGGAATATTAGAAATAAGGAAAACATAAGACGTATGTTTCAGTATTTTTTCCTTTTATTTTTGAGGCACATTCCATATTATATGGGGCTTTTTTTTTGTTTAACATGAAAATTATATATTAAATTGATTAAATTGATGATTGTGTAATATTTTAAATTTTAATAATTTAAAAAATAATTAAATTTCTTTGATTTTGATTTTTACCAAAAATGAGGCACCTTCCATATTATATTGGGTTTTTTTTTGTTAAACATGAAAATTATATATTAAATTGATTGAATTGATGATTGTGTAATATTTTATTAAATTTTAATAATTTAAAAAATAATTAAATTTCTTTGATTTTGATTTTTACCAAAAACGAGAAACATCTTTACCAAGATCTCCACATTTTAAATATAGGAACTACCGGTCAATCTTATACAAAAATGAAATAATTGAAATTAAATATTTTTTTTAAAAAAAGAACATCACTAATTGATTATAAAAAAAAATTACAAACAAATATATATTTTCTTCTCTAGGAAAAAAAATAAGAACTATGCTCCATTATTCTTGGTCATAAATAGCTAAAATATCTTTTATATTACAACTAATATTCAACCCATTTTAATTTATTTTTTTGTCATTTTATTGTTATTTTACGTACTAAACCCAAGCAATATAAATAATGGTTTAAAACTTGGAAGTTCTTTTTATTATTCTTATATTTCTCTCTTCTAGTAGTTGGTTTCAAATTAATGAAACCTAAATATTTTTTCTCCTAATTTTTTTTTTCCATTTACAAAATTTTCAATTTTACTTTACAATTTGTATTTCTCTCTGAAAATATGGCAATGGCTGCGATTTTTCCGGGTGAGTTAAATAATTTAATTAATTTCTAGAATTATATTTCATATTTGTCGCTAAATAGTTTATAGCTGACATATTTTTTATATTATTCACTGTTAGATAAGATTAACGATGATTCTTTTTTATCGATAGAAATTGTTTGTCACTAATCTTGTATAATCCTAGAGTTGGTAAAATAGTAGTATTAATTAAAACCAAAATTTTCATGTCTTTATTTTCATATATTTTTGAAATTCTCGATATATAACATATATATTATGTAGTTGTTGACTACATATTTTATTTTATTTTCTTCAAGGTATATATATTTTTTAAATGCTTGGCTAGTAATAATTATTTTTTTCTTCTTTTATTACTATTTTGTTAAATTAGTAGATTAAATCAATTAATTGAACACATATGTTAGATACCTAAATTTCAAGTTGTAGTTTTGACTAGTTATATGATCATATTAATTATATATGTACAAAAAGTACAGTGTCCGATACTTATATTTAATTTAAAACCATTATAAATATAACACGTCTGGCTATGATTATTACAATAATAATAATAAAATAAAGGGTGTCGGATATATATTATTACTATTAATTAATCATATAGTTACTACATATAAATCATTTCAATTCAATATTATAATAATTCCCGCTATTTATTTATTTATTTAAAAGAAGGATAAACTAGATCATTGGAAACGTTCATGATGAACTTTTTTTTTTATAGAAAATCCCACATTTCTAATAATAAATAATAATATCCATCAGAAAATTATTTTTTTATAATTAAAAAAATATATAAAATAGCAGACAAATATATAATATTGTATGTGTATAGCCAACTAGGTAACTTTTCTGTTCTAAAATTTATAAATTTAAAATCTTAATTTTGCCTTTGAGTTAAAAGAATTATTATTGACTCTAAAATTGCACAACAAATTAATATTATGTAGAGTTAGTTACCTACCAATCAAATGTGCAATATATTATATAAACAAAAAAAAAAAGAATGGTAGTTGTGAATATTTGGTCGAAATGTAGTATTTTCATGTTGTTATCAAACATAATAGAAGAAATAGTTAGATAAAATATTTTAATTTTTGAGATTTATATCGAAATTATCAGATGTATGAATTTTCTACGTAAATTATCACTAAATATTTTTAAAAGTACACCTTAATTATCGATTAGTTATTCACTTTTGCTACTATATATTAATCGATCAACAATTATAGCATAGTGAGGAATTATTAGCAAATAAATTAGAAATTACTTTATTGCTTGGCAATTATTATATAGCTATATATTGGTCCATTGTGACTCCTTAAATTTAAAATATCAAGTTAATTTAGTCTAATTTAATATCTAAAATTAATCAGATACATTTTGAGAAATAAAAAAAAAAGATAGACGATTAATTTAGCATGAAGGGAGTAATTATTAGTATTATTTATTAAATATATAACTTATAGTATATATGTCCATATGTTCATCCCTCACACACATATACATATTTTATGACAATATGAGTAAGATTGAACATCACATTAAAAATTGAAGACAATATAGTATATCTAGAAAATCACCAAGAGAAAAAAAAAATTGTTTTGGCATACAAATATCAATATAAGAATTCAATTTATATTTATATAAACATGGGAAGATAATTAATTAACAAGGCATATGTATGTATATATATATATATATATATATATATATAATAA